CACACACAAAGTCATAAGCTTTGCATTGTAAATTTTAAATTGCATTTCCCCAAAAAAAAACACATACCAACCATATCACAGCAGTGTGAGTATAGTGTCGCTACAAAAGAATCTAGGAAATAGAACAGGGAAAACTCTTTAACTGCAGTCATAGCAAAAAAAATCTTTTACTAGATTTTTTTTCAGAAAGGGTGGTGGTGGTGTTTAGCTGGCAAAACAGGACACAAATGCACAAAGCAAGCTCTAGCAGTTTTGCAACAAACACTTTAGGCAGTGGAAATGGAAGGATGATGATGTAGTTGAACAACATGATGATGTTGTGTTGCCATAAAAAAAGAGGAAAGGGATGCAAACTAGATGAAATAAAAAGCACACACATCATTGCTTTTGAATTGACAAAACTGGGGAAATGAATAAAAAAATATACTGAGAGAAAAATTTTAAAAGAAAATTTAGCTTATTTCATGTTAGATATACAAATTTTACTATTTTGTACGAAAATGTGTCATTTTTGACTTCCCCAGTTTCTGGGATTTTCCAGAATGTGTTTAGGAATTAAAAATTTTACCTATTTTTCTAATTTATAATGAGATTTTGCTGATATTGTGCAAATTTTAACAAACAATTTTAGAAATTTTTTAAAATTCGTGATTGGGGATTTTCGAAATTGATTTTGGGAATTAAGTTTTTTGTAAAATTTTTGCCATTTTCGTTTTAAAATCTTATTGTTAATAAAGCTAAGTTATTTAGACATTTTCCCGGTCATTTTTTATATTGGGGATTTTGGAAATTTTTAATTTTATTTTGGGAATTCAAAAATTTCGTTAAAATTATGCTTATTTCGTTTTAGATTTATAATTTTTACTATTTTTATGTGTAAAATTGAAATTTGAGACTTCCCCAGTTTCTGGGATTTCCAAAAAAGTATTTGAGAATTGTTTAAAATTCATATTTAGAGTATTTATTTGATATTTTGTAGATTTTTTTTTGGAAAATATAAAAAATCGTGAATTTTTTTATTATCCTTGAGGGGGGATTCTCAATTTTATTTTAGGATTTTTTATAAAATTTCTTAGAGAAAGTCGGTCTATGACTTCCCCAGTTTCTGGGATTTATAAAAAAGTATTTGGGAATTGTTTAAATTTGAATTTTTTGAGAAAATGTTGGATTTTAGTTAGTTCTGTGGGTTTTAGAGTCCATTTTTTCTCTCAGTGTTTTATTTGTAACGCGTGTCTTATTGTTGTTTAAATGATGTTGTTGTTCATGATGATGATGATGACGATGCTAACGACACAAGGCACACGCGTTAACATGACAACAGACACGCAACTCAGGTGGTGAACCAGAAATGGTGAAGTAGAATAATAGACCAAAGAAAGTAGAAGAAAAAAAACCGGTAGAGAGCGGCAACAATAACAATAGAGAAATAGTTACAAAACACAATGAAAGAAACTAAGACATACACAATTCAGCAAAGGATGGCAAAAAAGAGAAGTAAAGAAAATGAAAATTTCCATTTTCCCCAAAAACAAATTTCCTTGAGTTAAAGCAACAAACGATTTTTAAGTGAAATATTAAATTAACGCATGTGTATGAAACACTCTCTTAAACTTAAGAAGTTCTCTTTGAATATCAAATAGAGAGAGTTTTATTTGGAACTATTTCTTGTATTTTAAAAAAGGGTGTGTTGCTTTAGTATCCTTAAATTTTTACATTACCACCAACTAAAGGGATGTTTGTCCCAATACTCTCTTTTACTCTCTTCTCTTGGTCAACTTTCCCATATTCCATTGTAACTTATCTATGTATGTGTGTGTGTAAGTCTTAGCTGAAATTAGAAAATTTTTCAAGTCAACTTATGTTTGTAGTTTTCATCAAGTCACATATCGTTATAAATCGGCAAACCATAAGGATCGTCGTCCTCAGTCGTATGTGTTCGTTTGTTGCTTTCGTTCGTTAATTTTTCGAGAACATTCAGTTAAAACCTTTAGTTTTTTGGACTCCTCTGCACTACATTTTCTTCTACTTTAATTCATCGGTTTAATAAGTTTATATTTTCGATTTACCCAAAAAAAAATCGAGTGATTTTTGTATTCAGTTTTTTTGGTGACACTTACCGACGTTATAATTGTCATATTTTGATTTACCTAAAAAAACAAAAAAAAGTAAAATTTATTCAACAATTTAAAACAATTTTTAACGGGCAATTTGCAATATTGTTTATATTTATTATTAAAACTATTTCTCTCTCGCTCTTCGTAACAATTTAAAACAAGAAAATTGTTAAGAATTTACATAAAAGCCAAATTACTTTTAAATAAAAAAAATTTAGTTAAAAAAACTTTGTTACCAAAAAAATTAAGTTGTGTCATTCTCTAGTCAAATATTTCGTTTTGTTAAAATTTAAAAAAACAACAAAAAAATTTTGTTAAAAATTTCTTCAATTTGGATTTAAGTTCATCGATATATAATTTTTGTGGGACAGCATTAAAATCAACATGTAAGTAAAAAATTTCTTAGAAAATTCATTAATTTTGTCTTAAAAAGCTGAAAATCTTGAAATAACCTACACAGGAACATAATGGAAAGAAACAAAAATTAAAAAAATTTTTTTTTTTTTATAGAATTCTCAAAAAAATAATAAACTTGAATGGAAAATTAAAAAAAAAAAATGAGAAAAATAGCAAAAATTTTGCAAGGGAACCTAATGGAATGAAACAGAATTTTTAAAATTTATATAATTTTGCTTTATTTGTGCTCCAATTAAGAGATTTTCAAAAAAACGTTATAAAAAACTAAAAATATGACAAAAATGTTAAAGTGGAACGCAATGAAATGAAACAAAACTACAGAAAATTTTAAATCTCTCATAGATTTCCCTTCAAAATACATATTTTATTCGAAAAATAATAAAAATAAAAAATGTTATAAAAAATTGTCTAAGGGAACAAAATGGAATGGAACATATTTACAAACAATTGTGAAATTTTCATAGATTCCCCTTTAAAATAATATTTTTATGCAAAAAAATACAAAAAGTTAAATTTTATTAGAAATTGCTTAAGGGAACGCAATGGAATGAAACAAAATTTTAGAAAATTGTGAAATTTTCATATATTTTCCTTCAAAATAAAAATGTTATGGGGAAAATACTAAAAAAGTTAAATTTTATTAGAAATTGCCTAAGGAAACAAGGTGGAATAAAACAAAGCTACAGAAAATTATGAAATTTTTATAGATTTCCTTTCAAATGATCAATTTTAGGCGAAAAATACTAAATTTGACCAGAAATTGCTTAAGGGAACATAATGGAATGAAACAATATTACAGAAAATTGTTAAATTTTCATAAATTTCCTTACAAATTATAAATTCTATGGGAAAAATACTAAAAAAGTGAAATTTTATTAGAAATTACTTAAGGAAACGCAATGGAATGAAACAGAATTTTAGAAAATTGTAAAATTTTCATAGATTTATTTAAAAATGATCAATATTATGAGAAAAATGCTAAAAAAGTAAAATTTTATCAGAAATTTTCTAAGGGAACGAATTGGAATGAAATCAAATTTTAGAAAATTGAAAATTTCATATGGATTTACTTTTTAAGTTAAAATGTTATACGAAAAAGATTACTAAAAGAGTACAATTAAAAAAACTGTTAGGGGAATAAAGTGGAATGAAACACAAATTCTCAGAATTTAAAATGTATAATACATAATGTTTCAATACAATAGTTTTATGAGAAAAGTTAGAAAAAACTTGAATAATTTACAACATTTTATTAAGGAACATATTGGAATGAAACAAAATTTTAATGAATTTTTATAAGACATTAGATATTTATGGAAAAAAGTAATAAAAAAAGTCATAAATCTCTAAAATTTGTTTTAAGGAACAAAATGGTATGAAACAAAATTTTATAAAATTTATTAATTCTAAAAAATTTCCATGAGAAATGAAAACTTTATAAAAAAACAACAAATTAGTTAAAAAATTATGAAAATTTTTTAAAGGAACATAATGGAATGTAATAAATTTGTACAAAGCTTCTTAATTCCAGTAGATTTTACTAAGAAACGACAGATTTATGAAAAATAATTATAAAACAGATCAACAAATTTTAAGATTTGTTCAAAGGAACATAATGGAAAGAAACAACATTTATTTATTAATTCTAAGAGATTTTCATAAGAAAATTAAAGTTTTATGAAAAGATTTACAAAATAATTTAAAAATACTGACATTTGGTTTAAAGGAACATAATGGAATGAAACAAAATTTTATGAAATTTATTAACTCTAAGAGATTTTTATGGGAAATGATAGTTTTATGAACAAATTTATAAAATAGTTTAAAAATGATGAAATTTTGTTTAAAGGAACATGATGGAATGAAACAAAATTTTATGAAATTTATTGATTCCAAGAGATTTTTATGAGAAATTAAAGCTTTATTGGAAAATTTTAAAAAATAGTTAAAAATTTTGAAATTTTGTTCAAATGAAATTTTCAGAAAAATATTAATTGAAGTATTTCTTAAATATTTTTATAAAAAAATTAATTTTATTAAATTTATGCAAATCTTTATTTGTTAACATTACAAATATTACGTCTTAAGTTTGTTCCAACTAACAATTTCCTAGAATTTTCCTTTTTTTCTCCAAATACAATAAACTTTTTCTCGTCTAACTATAATTGTAAAATTTTTTTATCTATTCCCTTTTTTTCATAATCCTGCCTAACAACCATCCCCCAAAAAAATAACACACCAAATATTTACTTATACACACACTCTAAATACGAGAAAAAAAAAAACACACACACACACACAAAAATCAATATGCTCCATAACAACAACACTTAATACAGAAAATAACAATAAAATAGACAAAATATAAAAAAGAAACCAACAATAGATGAAACTTTGCTCTTAACACTACTCTCTTTCAAAAAGGATTTTCTAAAATATAGAAAGTGCGTATACTTTTCGGGGAGCTTTACAAATTTGGCTAAAAACACAAACAAAAAAAGCCGGCGTCAAACATACTACCACCTAGAAAACAGGAAAAACCGACAACCAAATAAACACCCTATTTTAGAGGAAAAACCGGGGGAGGGGAGTAACAAAAGGAGTTTATATACAGCTTCCTATATACATTCATTCATACATACAAAAACAAAACTATTACTGCTTTTCTCTCTTTTTCTAAAGTGATTAAATTATAGATCTCTTGTTCTGTTTGCACTACGAGTGTGAGGTTTTGTGTGTATTTGGTAGAAATTGTGGGGAGTTGGGGCAGAGTAATTTGTTAACAAATCAGACATGGGGAATTTAGAGCTTGGAATAGTACTAAGTTTTATCAGAAATAGTACTTTTTTATGATTAATAGTAGTAAATTTAGACCCGACTATAGACTAAACTATGGATTAGACTATAGACTAGACTATAGACTAGCCTATGGCCTAGACTATAGACTAGACTATAGACTAGACTAGCCTATGGCCTAGACTATAGACTAGACTATAGACTAGACTATAGACTAGACTATAGACTAGACTATAGACTAGACTATATACTAGACTATAAACTAGAATATAGACTAGAATATAGACCTAACTATTCACTAGACTATATACTAGACCATAGACTAGACTGTAGACTAGACTATAGACTCAGACTAGACTATAGACTAGACTATAGATTAGACTATAGACTAGACTATAGACTAGATTATAGACTATACTGTAGACTAGACTATAGACTAGACTATAGACTAGACTATAGACTAGACTATAGACTAGACTATAGACTAGACTATAGACTCAGACTGACTATCGACTAGACTCTAGACTTAGACTATAGACTAGAACTATAGACTAGACTAACTAGACTATAGACTAGTATATAGACTAAGACTATAGACTAGACTATAGACTAGACCTATAGACTAGACTATAGACTAGACTATAGACTTAGACTTAGACTAGCCTATAGACTAGACTATAGACCTAGACTATAGACATAGACATAGACATACTTATGACTAGACTATAGACTAACTTATGACTAGACTATAGACTAGACTCTAGACTAGACTAGACTAGACTATAGACTGGACTATAGACTAGAATATAGACTAGACTATAGACTAGACTATAGACTAGACTATCGAACTATACTATAGACTAGACTATCGACTAGACTAATCGACTAGACTATAGACTAGACTATAGACTAGACTAATAGATGACTAGACTAATAGACTAGAACTATAGACTAGACTATAAGTATACAGACTATAGAATAGACTATAGACTAGACTCTAGACTAGACTATAGACTAGACTATAGACTAGACTATAGACTAGACTATAGACCTAGCTATAGACTAGACTAGACTAGACTATAGACTAGACTATAGACTAGACTATAGACTAGACTATAGACTAGACTAGACTAGACTATAGACTAGACTATAGACTATACTATAGACTAGACTATAGACAAGACTATACACTATACTGTAGACTAGACTATAGACTAGACTATAGACTAGACTATAGACTAGACTATAGACTAGACTATAGACTAGACTATAGACTAGACTATAGACTAGACTATAGACTAGACTATAGACTAGACTATAGACTAGATTATAGACTATACTGTAGACTAGACTATAGACTAGACTATACTAGACTATAGACTAGACTATAGACTAGACTATAGACTAGACTATAGACTAGACTATAGACTAGACTATAGACTAGACTATAGACTAGACTATAGACTAGACTATAGACTAGACTATAGACTAGAATATAGACTAGACTATAGACTAGACTATAGACTAGACTATAGACTAGACTATAGACTAGACTATAGACTAGACTATAGACTAGACTATAGACTAGACTATAGACTAGACTATAGACTAGACTATAGACTAGACTATAGACTAGACTATAGACTAGACTATAGACTAGACTATAGACTAGACTATAGACTAGACTATAGACTAGACTAGACTAGACTATAGACTAGACTATAGACTAGACTATAGACTAGACTATAGACTAGACTATAGACTAGACTATAGACTAGACTATAGACTAGACTATAGACTAGACTATAGACTAGACTATAGACTAGACTATAGACTAGACTATAGACTAGACTATAGACTAGACTATAGACTAGACTATAGACTAGACTATAGACTAGACTATAGACTAGACTATAGACTAGACTATAGACTAGACTATAGACTATACTATAGACTAGACTATAGACTAGACTATAGACTAGACTATAGACTAGACTATAGACTAGACTATAGACTAGACTATAGACTAGACTATAGACTAGACTATAGACTATACTATAGACTAGACTATAGACAAGACTATAGACTAGACTATAGATAAGACTATAGACAAGACTAAAGACAATGCTATAGACTAGACTATAGACTAGACTATAGACTAGACTATAGACTA